GAGGCTAGTTCAGGCTCTCAGACCACCCACACAGCTCTCACCTCTGAGCCCAATGGCACTTTCCATCACCACCATACATTAGGGGATTTTACCCAAGCTTGGACTTCTGCAGGGATGGTGTTCAGACAATGCCCAGCAGTCAAGCCATTTGGGCTGTTAAACACTTCCCCATCTACTGAGAAACCTAGCTTCTAGCTTCTCTGGGTCCCTCAGAGCAACTCTAGCCCCTTCTGGAATTTCCCCTTCAGTAGCTTCCTGATAAAGCAGCTAAAGGGCTTACACTTGACATGGCAGGGAGCCTCCAGAACCTGGTTCCAACACTGGGACCAAACTGTGGAACTACCTCCACCCCAGTCATATGGGCTTTAAATATTTTAAGACAACTACCTCCACCCCAGTCATACGAGCTTTAAATATTTTAAATATATGAGGAATTTCATGGGTGCGACCTTCTCTTCTATTTCTTTGGTATTCCCCATAGCACCTATCACATGAAATACCACATAACCAGTACTCTGAAAACACTTATTTCAGAGCAGGATCCAGAGCATTGGGCCTCCAGAAGCATGCACACTCAACTTACAGGGATGCTTACTCCAATTCCAGAAAGGCCTAAATGTCACAAGAATCTCTCCTGAGCACCCTACCTGAAAGCTCCCACACTCTCCAGGCTTCTGCTATGGGGTCATGGAAGCACTCCATAACCCACATCTCTGGAGAGCTTCTCCCCCAGCTCCAGGCAGACCCCTCCAAACGCCTGTTGGACATTTCCAACTGGATGCCCCAACTTCTTATCTTGGCACATGGCAGACACTTGGCACACGGTTGTGTGATGAATGAAGAAGATGAAGTCAAAGTCAGCCTACCTCCCCTTCTAACTCTTCTCCAGAAGTAAACACTATAGATAGCATTTCACCTCCCTCACCTTACTGACCGAAGAGAAATTCCCCTTTGTTAACCACTTCCTGTCTTCCCAGTACCAGTGTCCAGGAGGGATGAAGAGACTGAGCCTTAAAAAGCAAGCGGTCAGGACCCAGCAGGCACTCTTGGGACTTTAGCGTCCCCTCACTTCGGCTGGAACGCAGGCCAGGCCTGAAACAAGCTTAGCCCCTAGACTTTCTCACCCTGGCCCCTACTCAAATTTCCCCCGCTCCCATTTACAGCTGCCTCACGTCTCAGTGGTCAGCTCCGGCCGGTTCCCACTCAGCCCCACCCCTCCACTCCAACTGGGACCCGCCCAACCATCCTGCTCTCTTCCGACACCCCAAACCCGGCTCCTGGCCTCACTCCCCTGGCCCCGGCCCCCTGCCCCGTCTCCTCCTGCCCTCCTCCTCCCCAGTTGCAGCAGCGCGGGGCCAACACACCCTCACCTCGGAGAAGAGCGCGGACAGGTGCTCCAGAGGGGCTGCGGGCACGTCCCCGCAGAGCACCGAGCCGCGGAGGCTGTAGGGCCCAGGCGGCTCGGGCCTGGTGCGCAGGAAAAAAAGCCCCTTAGCTCGAGGCGTGCCAGAGTCCGGTCCCGCGTCCAGCCCGGGTTGCAGCGCCAGGCCCCGGGCCCGGGCCGCACCACCAGCAGCGGCTGCGGACCCTCCGCAGCATCGCGGCCCAGGAAGGCGTGCAGCAGCCGATCCGCCTCGGCGCTGCCCGCGCAGCGCTCCCAGGCGCCCGCAGCCGGCCGCAGGCCCTGGACCACGTAGGCCCCCAGAAATCGCAGTCGCGGGTCGGCGCCGGCTTCGTCTTCTGCGTTCTCCTCAGCTAGCGCGGCCCGCACCTCCGCGCTCGGCATCGCGCGGCCTCTGGCTGCCTCGGGCAGCAGCGGTTTCCCTAGCGAAGGGGACGCAGCCGGGGCTCCCTCCTCCGCTCCCCTCCTATTGGGCACAGGACTCCTCGCCCCGCCCCTTCCTGTCTAATGAGGTAAGAGGGGGAAGGCTGGGGAAGGGGCGGGATCGCGTCGTTGTTGCTAGGAGACCTGCGGCTGCTCACGTTTAGCGTGTTGCCTCTCCTATTGCAAGTGCTGGAGAGTGATGGTCCTAGGGCACTGGTTTGTAGGATGTAAGTGCTGTTAAGGGTCCTGCTAGTTAAGGTCAGATGACATTCCTTAAAGGTCTCCAGACACTGAACACATTCTGGATGTCCCACCTAGTCCCCAAATGCGTACTTCAAACTTGAGAATAATGTCAGATCATAAAACAGATGTAAAGAAATTCAGTGACGTTTTTAACTTATTTGCCACGAAAACTTAAATACTTTAGAGCAATGCTTATGTGGACACTAAGCATTTGAAGTGTGCTGGTGCGACTGAGGAACTGAATTTTTAAATTTTAATTTGAAGTAATTTAAAATTAAATAGCATGTGGTTCACAGCTCAGCCTCAGAATTATATTACCAATTATATTTTTAAGAGGTTTCTTAGTGTCCTGCTGTGTCCGTGCCTTAAGTGTGTGCTTCATCTGACAAATGGGGACTCAGACTCTGAGATCACTTTGATTTCTGTATGCCCCCAATCAGTTCTTCTCAAATGCAGCAAAGCAGCTTTAAATGTGCAGGGTGCTCCGACCCTCCCATTCCTGCTGTATATCTGGACCTTGTCTTCAAAAAGGAATAATGTGAAACACCTTTCAAAAACTAGCATTTGCCACCTGCTGAATCCTTCTCCATGATCAGGATATAAATAACCTGGTCCTCTGCATGTAGTAAGGTGAGATGGGACAAGGAAAGATATAGGCTCAGTAGCATGAGATCTGCAAGTCTGAAAGAGCTCCCTTCTGCCCTGTCCCCTAATTATAGGCACCAACCAGAGACAGCAGCATTTCTGGGTAAAAAGAACACTTGTAATGGGCTTCAAAGGCATATTAACAGAATAAGCACTTATCAAAGGCAGCGAGGCTAACAAGAGGCCCTCAGGAAATGCTATAGCTGGAAGGTAAAAATGATTTCATAATAACTGGGGCACAGGAGGTGCTATGATGAAAAATGTTCCCATTAGAAAATGAATCTTTATGTTTGTAAAGAGTGTTTTATCACTGCCGGATCAACAGTAGACCAACCAGGAGTAAAGTAACAAAAACAAAGACACTCACATGATTTTTAAGATGAATTTGATAATTGACATTTCAAAAAAAGCATCAGGGAAAAGAAATGTTAAGGCCTTCCTACACATACCGTAGTTGGTAGAGTTTGTATTTTGCACATAGGAAGGCATCATTTTTTTAATGCTTAGGACCTCCAGAAGTGTCAATCCTAATCATGTTTTACATAGAGAATAAAGTCAGGACCATTAACTTCCTGTAAAGTCTTCCAATAAAGTTTCTATCACCCCACCATGGCCTATTTGCCCCTCATCCTCTTTGTCCCTTTGTCCCAATATGCATAAAAATACAAACACGGGAACCTGTGAAGATGCCTTGAAGAGGTCTAAGAGTGAAGCCTCCTGAACACTGACAGTGCCAGCTTTTGCCTTTTTCCCCCAACTATACACCTTAATCTCCATTTTAGAAAGAGATTTGGCAGCAGGGGTGTCTGTATGGGATTTATTGAAAACAATTAATACCATCTTTATTTTGTATAATTATGATAAGGAAACAAAATAACAAGTATATTTGCTCTTACTGTGTAACAAATTACTCCAAAGAATATCTGTTTAAAATAGCAGTAGACATTTATTATCTCACATAGTTTGTGATGGGTCAGAAATTTTGGAGCAGCTTATCTGGGTGGTTCTAGCTCAGGATCTCTCATAATATTGCAGATACGATGCCATCAGGGGCTGCATCATCTGAAGGTCTGACTGGGTGTGGAGTCGGTGCTGGCTGTTGCCAGGAGGTTTCAGTTTCTGAACACCTGGACCTCTCCATTGAGTGCTTGAGTGTCCTTACAACATTATGTCTGGCTTTCCCTGAACCAAGTGATCTAAGAGAGAGTAGGACAGAAGCCATGGTACCTCTTATGATACATTGTCATTTCTGGCATAATCCTACTCATTATAGAGGTCCACCCCATTCACTCTAAAAGGGAACTACACTAGCACATGAATACCAGGAGACAGGAATCATTGGGGCACATCTTAGAGGCTGGCAACTACAAATGGTGTTAAGGAAGATGTTGAATTTGTGTGATTGTTCAGATGGACTTATTTCCTTTTCATAAACTAGAAATTTGGACTTGCTTCCATGAGCATAACATTTTATGTCAGATTTTTTGCTGAAATGGCCATGCACAATTCCTGTTCAACACTTTTCAATAATGATCCCTTTAAATTCTGGATAGTCATGATTGACAGGAAATTTGTTCACACAAGCCAGTAATGCAAAATTTCAAGCGTTTCACAATCATTCAAAAATTAACAGTTGGCATTATATGTACAGAACTGAGCAGCTTTCTTCCTTGACAAATGGTATGTTGAAATTTCTTGTGATGCTGTGGATATTGAATCTACATCAATGTTTCTATATCAAATATTCAAAATAGTGATAAAGGTTTAATTCAAAGAATATGCATGCATTGTTAGTCTCCTTGCTGCCATCTTGGATACCACTAAATGAAGACAGTCAGATACAAATGTGCAGACGTGTTGGGTACATGTGTAGAAGGAGAGGCCAGGCTACCTGGAGCTCCAACCAGGACACATATATAAGAATATTAGTTGTTCCATATTCATGAGAGCAAACTCATGGGAAACAAACCAGTTGTTCATCAATGATAGGATGGAAAAATAATTGTGTTGTATACTACTCATAGAATAAAATACTATACAGCAGTGAAAAGGAGCGGACTGCAGCTCCATGCATCAACATGGGAGAATCTAAAAGGAATAATGCTAAACAAAAAAAAGACAAGTTGCAGAGGAGTCCTTTCAGTATTTATTAGTTTTAAATTAAATGATATTTTGTTAGACATACATAATCTAGAGAAAACTAAGGGAATGATTATCCTAAAATTCAGATTTTGATCATTTTTCAGGGGCAGAGGGGGAAAAGCAGCATGGGATGGTGAGGGACCCACAGGGGCCCCCTTAGGTTCCTGGTGATGTTTTATTTAACCTGGCTTATGAGTTTTCATTTTATCATTCCTCTTAAACTGTGCATATATGTTATGTGCTTCTTTGCGTATGTATGATATACTTCACAATTAAGAAAAGGTATGTGCCATTTCTTGTACTCTGAATGTTGTGGGACTACTCATTTCCGTTACTGGGAATAAGTAAATTATTATTCACAGAAATTCTAGCATTTTATTAGATTTATTAGAGTATACATCAAATATCTTTACATTTTTAATTGATTGAATTTCACAACTTTTATAATTCGGTATGTTGCTAGTGGCTTGTCATTGGGTTCAGTAGACACTGTTCAACCCTTCTCTTCTTGGTTCTCTTCAACACAGATTCCTGATTCACTGTGAAACATTCTAGACTGCTGACTTCCATGGCAATCACCCTCCTTTTGGCTTCTTCCCCTCAGTCTCTTTGACTACTCTGGTTTTACCTATCCCTTCAATATTGATGTTGCTTAAGCATCTGTCTCAGACCTGCTGGCCTTCTCGCGTTAAAATCTCTACTTGTATGAACTTACTCATCCAAGGTAAAAATTCTTCCTTTTATGCTGCTAGCTCCCAAGTCCATATCTCCAGCCCAAAACTACATAGGTGTAACATTTTAGGGTAATATCTGTTTTCCCCTCAAATCTCTATAGAAATTGTTCCATTGCTTTTTTTGAAACTTAGTGAAGAGAAGTCTGAAGCCAGCTTGATTTTGTTCTTTGTAGGTGTCATTTGAAACTACCTGTTTGTTTGAGGCATTTGTCCCTCTCCCTTTTTGTTTCTGTGATTGTTAAAAATGTTTTAGGTTATAGCTGAACTCCCACTGAATTGATTTTTGCCTGAATTATGGGAGCCCATTCAGTTCTCGTGATGTGTTCCTTTACAGTAGGAAAGACTGATCTATATCTTTGACTATTACTTATTTTCCATTTGTACTTTCTGGTCTGGTTTTCTGGTAGTGTAGATTGAGAGAATGTGCTAAAAATTATAAGTAAGGGATACATTTTGAAATACTAACTGAGGTTTTTTATTCCTATATTGCCGGGAGCCATGCTACTCAAGCTGTGTAGCAAAGCTCAGGCTGGAGGAAGACCCCCACAAATCAGGGGCCTTCGCAGCTGGCTCCCTCTATTACCCACCTTGATTTTGTTATTTTCCATTATACTATTGGCTCTGTTTTTGCTTGCATTGTTGCCAAAGACTAAGCTAACCTTTGCTAAGCAGCACGGAAAAGATGAGAACATAAACTTCCCAAAAGCTTTTCAGGACAGTGCTCCTGAAGAATAGAACATGCAGGGGCCAAATGGTGATCTTAGCATAAAGTACTGAAACCTGCTGTTAGTCAAACACTGACCACCCCATTTCCACTGAGAATGCCCCCCCCTTGTTTATGCTAGTGAAACTAGTGATGGAAAGTTTTCTAGAAATCAAGTTATGAGAGAATATTGAATAGAATAACCCTGTTGACACTTAATTAATCATCTCATGTTTTCTTCCCTCTACTACTTCTATAGTTTGTTTTTCTTCTTTCCTAATTACGGCCCTTTACTAGAATTTGTGCCTCATACGTGAAATTACCAAGTACCATAATTTTCAGGAAGTAAAGATACCTCAAAACAAGTGCTGGGCATAGAAGCCATGGAGCATAAATCTGCAAAGAAGTGAAAAACTAACCTTTTCAAACAATATTACTTCTCTCTCACTTACCAGCTTTACATCCCCCTATATGGTCCCGTAAGATGGCTGGTTAGCCAGAGACAGGTAAGATTCCTCAAGAGAGGAACAACCTAAGACAGGCACAGTCACAGGGGGGCCATCAGGTGAGAAAAAGGG